TTTTGTAGTCTTGGAAATGGTTTCCTGTTGGGTAAAGCTAAGCTTTTTTCTCCTATGTCTTGTAAACTTTTTATGTAGTAGACACTCTCTTCAAGTATTAACTCCATAGTAACTTATTCTTCTTCGACAAATCTGTAATTTGTGTACTACTGATGTTCATTTAATCTGACAGCAACATACTCTTGTATCTACTTGTCTGGATTTCCTTTTGTGCAGTAATGCGGGCTGCTCATTACTCAGTGTTTCAAGAGTATTACCGTGACTTTCTGTTCTATTTCAGGTTCGGACCATCCTCGACATTGAATGTGGCTATGGTAGTTTTGGTGCCTATCTATCATCCAGCCAGTTATTGACCATGTGTCTAGCGAATTACGAGGCATCTGGCAGTCAAGTGCAACTAACATTAGAAAGAGGTCTTCCTGCAATGATTGGTTCATTTACTTCAAAGCAGTTGCCATATCCATCTCTTTCATTTGACATGGTACATTGTGCACGATGTCGGATTGAATGGGACAAAAAAGGTGCAATAATATTTTCAACTAGTTTAGCTTTTCAATAACGAATAATTAAATATAAAACGATGCTTTACCCTTAAATCATACAATGTTTGTGCATACTAACAAAGTTTTCCAGTCTCCCTTTTCTGGCATTTATTTGTTTTTCCATTTTGTCTATAAACTGTGTAAATATATATGAGCAATTCCCTATAAATACATGTGTAATAGGAGGCTAGTGTTCAATGTTAGCTTATGGTGATATTTGTAATTTGTTGATAGGATGGAATTTATGAGAGAAATTGGTTCATTTTCTTTGGATAACAGCAGTTATTAAAGAGTCAAATATTTACTAAAGGGTCACTTTCTCTGTAATGGCACGTGAAACTTGGCTTTAGCACCCTCCTATACAAGGCCTCCCACATACGTATTATTGATATAACCTGCTGTCAGATTGACAACTAGAGAGAATTTCTTCAATATCACCCTCCTTGGTTTTCTAATCATCATATCCCTTGGTAATTTTACATATTGCCGCGCATTTTCATGCCCTATACATTATGCCAATCTCATCTAATCAATAACCACTGCATCTCATGAGGACCAAAATGCAAGGACTTGAAAAGTTAGTCCACACTGAGTCCATCCTCTTCTGTACCATCATTATAAAAAGAACCGAAATAGAGAAAACTTAGTTAGAAAACCACTGACTTATGCAACCAAGCCCATGGAAATATGATCAAGCTCGATTGAGTTTCATCTAATCACATGTTTATACTTCTATACCATACAAAATAAATGGAAGTTCTATCATTCGGAAGAATCTATTTTCTCATTGTCCCATGAATCTCCTCACGTGGTGCAGATGGCATATATTTGATCGAAGTCGATCGTTTGTTGAGACCTGGGGGGTATTTTGTGTGGACTGACCCGCTTACAAATTCTCAGCGTTCACTTCGCAACAAAGATAACCTAAAGAGATGGAACACAGTCCGTTTGCTTACAGAAAGCCTCTGCTGGGAGATGTTGCCACAGCAGGACGAAACTGTTGTGTGGAAGAAGACTAGTAAGAAGAAATGCTACTCAACAAGGTAAGGCTCCAAGAGCATGCAGGTATTAATATTCTGTTCATAAGCCACCCATGAAATTCTAAAACGGTGTTTCACGACTTACTTTCAGAAATTTTCCAATTTTGTTTGTGTTCATTAGAAACATAATGATATCTTTGAACAGAAGCACAAATTCACAAAATAGATTGAGGTAGGTGATAAGAGCAGGTTGAACGCCAAATTAGAATATAAGCATTTTGCATGAGTAGTTTGGGAACTTCTTCCTGTGTTTGGACCGAGAGTTTTTTTTGTAATTAAATTATGTTGTAGCTGCATGAATGAATTCTCGTGCTCCATTCAACACATTATCTTAATAAGGAAAAGTTTTCTATTTCCAGGGAAAATGGATCCCCTTCTCTCTGCAATAAAGGACATGACATTGAGACCCCTTATTATCGACCCCTCCAGTCGTGCATTGGAGGAACTCAAAGCCGCCGATGGATTCCTATTGAAGAAAGGAGAAAATGGCCTTCCCAGGCCAAAATGAACTCAGCTGAACTAGATATTCATGGTAGAAGTCCTTTGACATTTAACTTTGAACTTTGTGTCTTAGCTGAGTTGAGCTGTATGCGATCATATCTAGGGGCTATTTGAAATAAGTAGAAAAAGTTACTGCTTCTAACCTTCAAAAAATTCTTTGTGTGTGTTCAATTATGCATATGTTTTTATCACAATCTATAATTAATGAGGGTGCCTTAGATTTCTGATTTTGCTTCAGTTTTGTGTTTCATAAACAAATAGACGCCTTTACAACTTAGTCACTTGCGTGACGCGCATTTAAGTTATCAACTTTTAGTGCCTGATACTCTGATTTAACTTTATTAAACCAGTAGAGTAAGGCTGTCAACGAAGCCGGAAGTGAGTTGGACTTTGTTACTTTGCGGACTTTTAGTGTCCATTCACAAATATCACCCACATTTGATTGTTCCATGATCTATTTGTAAAGATCCTGAAGCTGAAAATCTAGTAGTAGTACATGTTGCCTGGTAATAAAATCTAATGATGTTCTCTTTTCTGTTAGGTTTGCACTCAGAGGAGTTTAATGAAGATGCTATTAATTGGAACTATGCAGTTCGCAACTATTGGTCCCTTCTTTCACCGCTGATATTTTCGGATCATCCTAAAAGGCCTGGCGATGAAGATCCTTCACCGCCTTACAACATGCTGAGGAATGTGTTGGACATGAATGCACGTCTCGGTGGATTTAATGCTGCTTTATTGGAAACTGGGAAATCTGTGTGGGTGATGAATGTGGTCCCTATAAAAGGACTAAATACTTTGCCTTTGTTACACGACCGGGGATTTGTTGGGGTGCTGCATGACTGGTAATTTTGACTTTAATACTTTCTCAGTCTTGCTAATAGGTCAAAATTGATATATGTAAATATAGAATTGTCATATTCTTATTTCTAAAATTAGGAATTGTAATCTAAAATATTTTTACTGTTAGAAAACGATTTATTCAAATGGAGGTCACATCCCTTGCTTTCTGCAAGAGAAATTTTGAATGGAGTCTTCTTCCGTGCAGGCTTTGTTTGAGTGATCAGAGTGATCACATCATCATCCCATCATCTGAGACCTAATTTATAGTCTTCCAACTTTAGTGATAAGTAGTTCATGAAAGAGAGAAATCTTTTGAGTTCTGAGATGAACTGAGAGTGAAAATTTAGACAACTCACCTGTACGTGAAAATTTAGACAACTCGTACCTGAAATCACTTCATGAGGATGCCAGGGTAGATGAATTTAATGATGCAGCAATTTTAATGGAACAAGCGAACGTAGATTTAACTTTCTTACATATTCATCATTAGTTTGTTGTCATTGGACTCTGGTTGTGCAGGTGCGAACCATTTCCAACATATCCAAGAACATATGATCTGGTCCATGCTGAAGGACTTCTCTCTCTTGAATTTGATGACAAGCCAAGATGCCAAATGCTAGATTTGTTTGCTGAGGTAGATCGTATACTTCGTCCAGAGGTATGATTATTATTTCTACTTCTAAAATCCATCTTAATTTAAGTTCCTTCCATCAACATGATAAAATAAATAGATGAATTTGAACAAAGAAAGAAGTTCACAATCTGATAATGTGATGCATAAATTTATAGGTCAACTAAGAATTGTGCCCAAATATCTGTAGCTTATGCATAACCACAAAACTACGCCCTCTCGTCTAAAAATTGACAAAAACTTTCTTACTGTCCCCCCAACAGCATGTAATACATATACATAAACGAATTCAAGAGCTTATTTGTAATATCATAAGATAATCAAAGTCTTTTGGTGAAACCAAAATGTAGGGATGGTTGATTCTGAAAGACGGCACTCGACTAATCGAGTATGCAAGATCTCTAACGACGCATCTGAAATGGGATGCCCGAGTCGTCGAGATCGAGAGCAATAGTGACGAGAGGCTCCTCATCTGCCAAAAACCGTTTTTCAAAAGACAGTCTGCGTGATTTCGTCTGCAACTAAAGATACTTTTATAGATTATCGTATATGATGCAATTATAATCGCAAATTCATTTATGAGGATCTAAATTTTATACCGGAACACAAAAAGCTTCCACCTCCTAAAGGGGTGGATGGAAGTTTTTGAACCGAATAGACATATAAAACGGTACAGTGCCAAAAATATGCATAATGGATTGCTGGGAATGAGCTGCAAACTCCCTATGGAGCTGCAAGGCGGACATAGGGCCGTGTAAATTTACATTAAAAAGGGTTTGGTTTCTTCTTGTGTTGTCTCATTGGAAGAACTGAGAAAAGTTACAGGATATATTCAATTGTGGAATTTTTTACATTTTTTTTTTTACCATTATGTAGTGTATAGCAGCAACTTGTAATACAATATGTGGATGTTTTCTTTGTGTTATTTATTTTTGACGCACTGTATTTGGGTACCGACTCTAATTGCGATGCGTATTTGTTTCATTGCAACTTCCACATCCTTTGTTTGAGTATCGAATTACAATGGGATATCTACTGATTTTTTGGTTTTACAATGTAAACTAAAAACAGAAAATTACAACAAAACTTAAAGCGGGAAGAGTACAGCCGGCGAGAATCTCTTTTTACAAGATAAATTTATTCCGTGTAGTGTTGATGGTTTTGTGTGTCTTCTCCTTCAAGATGCAAAGACAATCGTTTCACATATTGTAGAACACCAGACTTTGGAGCTCCGATGAACTAAAACAGAGTCAAGAATTGAGCGTGATGTAAGATTTGTGAAGCTATTATTAGAGAGCAAGGATATAGATGTATCTTTAATGTGTTTGTTGCAACCTAAGAACTTTTTATTGAGTTCCAACTCAGGCAGGAGAAACCATGAGTCAATTATCACTTAAAGCTGACAGCTGCCGATTGCTGCTATAAAATGTATAAAAACGGTCAGACCATTCTCAGGTGTTAAATACACAACCTGAAGACTTCTGAAACGGTCAGGTGAAGCCAACATATTGAAATGAAAAGAGTCAACTTGTATATGGAGAGGTCCACACGAGTTTGATAAAAACATGAGTCTAAATTCAACTCAGTTTGGATTTTAATGTTGGACCACATGAAATAAATTTGCAGCAACAAGATTATAGGGGTTGGGCCCAATGCCCAAACCCAACACTGGCCACCGTCCAAGGTCTCCAAATTCTAGCTCACAATCCAATTTCCAAGTATCAAGGTCCAAGATCAAAGTGTAAGAATATGTGGCCCGAAAGCATTGGGCTCACATTTAATTATCCTATTGGCCAGATCTTATTTAATAGTCAAACAAATCTAAGCCATTAATCTGTTTGATGGACGTACCAGATCTAAAGACACCCTATATAATAGGGTACGCAGTATTTTTCGCATCACTTTCTGCTACATTAAGAGAAGGCCAAGAGGGAGAAACTGATTTTGATCTAACACTTAATTCAACCTCGTATGATCATCAAGATCAAGATCACAAATTATGTCGTCTTCCGCATCAAGTAAGTGTTTCGTATACACACAAATTATTTATTCAAGAT